ATGACGAAGAAGATGATGATGATGAGCACCGTGATGATGATGTTGATGATGATGATGATGAACTGACATGATAATCATCATCCTCATCATGGTAATCATGTCCGCGCATCTTCTGCATCTCAAATCGGGTCTAACAGACACTTGAAACGTATATAAAAAAAGACAAGGACGATGACGAAGAAGCTGATGATGATGAGCACCGTGATGATGATGATGATGATGATGAACTGACATGATAATCATCATGACGCATCCTCAGCATCACCAGCAGTCGTCATGATAATCATGTCCACGCATCTTCTGCATCTCAAATCGGGTCTAAAGGCACAATTGAATCGTATATAAAAAAGATAAGGACGATGACGAAGAAGATGATGATGATGAGCACCGTGATGATAATGATGAAGTGATGCTGATGATGATGATGATGATGAACTGACATGATAATCATCATGACGCATCCTCAGCATCACCAGCAGTCATAATGATAATCATGTCCACGCATCTGCTGCATCTCAAATCGGGTCTAACGGGACACTTGAAGCGTACATAAAAAGAGATAAGGACGATGACGAAGAAGATGATGATGATGAGCACCGTAATGACGCTGATGATGATGATGATGATGATGAACTGACATGATAATCATCATGACGCATCCTCAGCATCACCAGCAGTCATCATGATAATCATGTCCACGCATCTTCTGCATCTCAAATCGGGTCTGACGGGACACTTGAAACGTATATAAAAAAGACAAGGACGACGACGAAGAAGAAGATGATGATGAGCACCGCGATGATGATGCTGATGATGATGATGATGATGAACTGACGTGATAATCATCATGACGCATCCTCGGACAGCGGCGACGACCGCCACGCCGATGATGATGATGATGATGATGTTGAATCTTCGGTTATGCTCATTTACCAGCCAGCCTTGGACTTATAACCGCCCTTCCCGTACGCCTCCCCCTTTCAGGAGAAGGGGTCGGCGGATTCCAATGGCAATTGATGGAATTGCTAAAATTAATTCTAGGAATTAGAATAATTCCAATTGGAACTATCAGAATTTTCTAGAAATAATTCTTAAAATTAGAATAATTCCAATTAGAATTATTAGAATTCTTAGAATTAACTTAGGACTTGGAATAATTCCAATTGGAATTATTAGAATTATTAGAATCAGTTCTAGGATTCTGAGAATTCCAAAAATTCGAGAAACAGAATTGCTCGGGGAATGCTGACCAGGCAAGAATTCAAAGAATTCCAAAAATTCCAATTGGAATTATTCAACTCCCTAGAATTAGTTCTACGAATGAGAAAGAATACTTACAGTTGGAATTATTTGACTTCTGTGAATTAATTCTAGAAATTGGAATAATTCAAATTGGAGTTATCAAAATTATTAGACTTAATTCTGGGGTTCTAAGAATTTCAATAATTCCAGAAACAGAATTGCCCGCAGAATGCTGACCAGACAAGATTTCTATTAATTCCAATTGGAATTATCAAATTCCTAGAATTAATTCTAGGAATTCTATTAATTCCAATTAGAATTATTCCAAGTCCTAGAATTAATTCTAAGAATTGGAATAATTCCAATTGGAATTATTAGAATTCTTGGAATTAATTCTCGGAATTGGAATAATTCCAAGAATTCCAGAAACAGAATTGCCCGGGGAATGCTGACCAGGCAAGAACTCCAAGAATTCTACTAATTCCACTTGGAATTCTTCCAACTCCTAGAATCAATTCTAGGAGTTCTAATAATTCCAATTGGAATTATTCCAATTCCTAGAACTACTGCCAAAAATTAGAACAATTCCACCTGGAATTATTAGAATTATTAGAATTATTTCTAGCAATTGGAATAATTCCAATTGGAATTATTAGAATTATTAGAACTCTTTATTTTATTCTAACAATTCCAAAGATTCCAGAAACAGAATTGCCGGGGAATGCTTACCAGGCAAGAATCCAAGAATTCTAATAATTTTAGTTGTAAATATTCAATTCCTAGAATAAATTCTGGAAATTCCAAGATTCCAATTGGAGTGAATCCAACTCTTAGAATTAATTCTGAGAATTCTTACAATTCCAATTAGAATTATTCTAATTCTTAGAATGAGTTTTAAAATTTGAATAATTCCAATTGGAATTACTAGAAATCCTAGAATTAATTCTAGGAATTAAAATAATTCCAATTGGAATTATTAGAATTCTTAGAATTAATTTTAAGGTTCTATGAATTCCAAAGGAGAGAAACGGAATTGCCGGCCCAAGAATTCCAATGATTCCAATTGGGGTTATTCAAATTCCTAGAATTAATTCTAACAATTCATATAATTCCAATTGGAATTAATCCAACCCTTAGAATTGATTCTTTGGAATAATTCCAATTGAAAATGTCCAAATTTTCAAGAATTAGTTTCAAAAATTAGAGTAATTCAACATAGATTTTGTTGAATTCTTAGAATTAATTCTAGGAATTGGAATAATTCTAATTAGAATTGTGAGAATTCTTGGAATTAATTCTAGGGTTCTAAGAATTTCAATAATTCCAACATTTGGAATTATTAGAATTAATTCTAAGATTTGGAATAATTCCAATTGGCATTAATAGAATTCTTAGAAGTTATTCAAGGAATAAGAATAATTCCAATTGGAATTATGAGAATGCTTAGAATTAGTTCTAGGATGAAAAGAATTCAAAAAATTCCAGAAACAGAATTATTAGCATTCTTAGAGTTAATTCTAGAATTCTACAAATTATAAAAACTCCAGAAACAGAATTGCGAGGGAATGCTGGCCAGGCAAGTATTTTCCAATAATTCTAAGAATTCCTATCGAACATACTCAAATTCCTAGAAGGAACCTACTAATTCCAATTGGTAGAATGAATTCTAGGAATTTGAATATTTCCAATTGGAATTATTAGAATTCTTTGAATTTGTTCGAAAAATCTGAATAATTCCAAATTTGAATTATTTGAATTCTAGAATGCATTCTAGGAATTGGAAAAATTCCAATTGGAGTTGTTAGAATTATTAGAATTCTTAGAATTAATTCTAGGATTCTATTAATTCCAAGAATTCCAGAAACAGAATTGCCAGGGAATGCTGGCCAGGCAAGGATTTTCCAATAATTCTATCAATTTGAATAATTCCAATTGGAACTCTTAGAATTCTTAAAATTAATTCTAATAATTCCAATAACTGGAATTATTGGAATTCTTAGAATTAATTTTAAGAGATTGGAATAATTCCAATTGTTGTAACAATTCCAATGGGAAATTTAAGGATTCTTAGAATTAATTCTAGGATTCTAAGAGTTCAAAAAATTCCAAAAACAGAAATATCAGCATTCTTAGAATTAATTCTAGAATTCTACCAATTATAAAATTCCAGAAACAGAATTGCGAGGGAATGCTGGCCAGGCAAGTATTTTCCAATAATTCTATTAATTCCTATCGAACATATTCAAATTCCTAGAAGGAATTCTACTAATTATAACAACTCCAATTGGAATTATTCAAATTCCTAGAATGCATTCTAGAATTCAAATAATTCCAATTGGAACTATTCAAGTTTTTCGAATTAATTCTAAGAATTCTATTATTTCCAACTGGAAATATTCAAATTCCTAGAATTCATTGTACCAATTGGAATTATTAGAATTCTTAGAATTAATTCTAGGAATTTGAATAGTTCCAGCTGGAATTATTGGAATCCGTAGAATTAATGTTAAGAAATTGAAAAAATTAGTTCTAGGAATTTGAATAATTCTAATCGGAATTATTAGCATTCTTAAAATTTATTCTAGGATTCCAGTAATTTCAAGAATTCAAGAAACAGAATTGCCAGGGAATGCTGGCCAGGCAAGGATTTTCCAATAATCTTAACAACTCCTAGCAAAAAATCTAATAACTCCAATTGGAATTATTCCAATTCCTAGAATACATTCTAGATTTCTAATAATTCCAATTGGAACTGTTCAAATATTTAGAATTAGTTCTAAGAATTGGAATAATTCCAATTGGAATTCTTGGAATTCTTAGAATTAATTCTACTATTTGGAATAATTCCAATTGGAATTATTAGAATTCTTGGAATTGATTCTTGGAATTGGAATATTTCCAATTGGAACTATTAGAATTAATAGAATTAATTCTAGGATTCTATCAATTCCAAGAATTCCAGAAACAGAATTGCCAGGGAATGCTGGCCAGGCAAGGATTTTCCAATAGTTCTAATAATTCCGTTTTCTAACAATTTCTACTGGATTTATTCCAATTTATTAGAAAATCTACTAATTCTAGAAAGTCCTATTGGAATAATTCTAATTCTTAGAATTATTTCTGTAAATTCTAATGGTTCCAAATGGAACTATTAGAATTGATTTTAAAAAGTTGAAGAATTCCAGCTGGAATTATTAGAATTCTTAGAATTAGTTCTAGGATTCTATGAATTCCAAACAATCCTAACTCGTGTCATTGGACGCCTTCTTTCCTCACCCGTCGCCCTACTGTGTTGAACCAATGGTCCGCGCGAAAGCACAATCTAAGAATTCCCAGGGGTTGTCTCTGGAATTCCTGGAGCTCCTGGAATTCTTGTCTTGCCAGCCAGCAGGGACAACTATTACCCAGAGGTCTCTCACACACATATATATGTACATATATATATATATATATATATTTGTATATAAATGAAACTCAAACAATGTGAAGGGAGAAATGCTATTGCAATGTCAGGTTAACCAAGGTTGCTTTTCCAAGCGCAACAAACAACCAACAAGCAAGACCAAAGCAGGCTTAATTAAATCAATCCTTTACTTTGTTTGCAAAATCCCAAAGATAGATTTTGGCAACAGGCTCACTGTAAGGTGTCAAGAGCACGATAGATGATACCTTCATCCATCCTCCGCCTTTGGCTTGCTCCATTCTGTGGCTTACCCATCATGGTACTATCAATCACTGTATGTCTTGCCATATTTCAGGCCGCTTCCAGACGCTGCGAGCTACGCTGCGGTGGTTTCGGCATTTTCTGCTGCGGCCGCTGCAAGCCGCAGGCCAGGTGGAGAGGACGCTGAGTTGCCAATTCACACCATTGCCAGTCATTGCCATTGGCGTCCAATGGCTTTGATTTGATTCAGGCGGCAGCTGCTGCATCGAGCAGCGCCACGTCAGCGATGGCTGAAAGCTGTGGTCTAGTGTCAAGCAAGCGCTTTGTTAGTTCAAACCTCATTGCCATGTTGCATCCGATGTCCATGACTTTTATGACTTTTGCATTTGCCATGCTGATTGATCACGAGGAAGAGCTACTGCTTCGCAGCCGAAACGTCATGTTGGAGGCCATCTGCTGGTGCGAGTGGAGGAGGGCCTTTGTGCAGTCTCAACTTCCTGTTTGGCAAGCGCCATTGATAGGAAGACTACGCAAGTGTTACAGGTGGTTGAAATCGGCCATGTGCCTCCTCAAGCCCAGCTCGACCTGCGCCACCTTGTACTTAGTGTTTGCTTTAGCTCCCTTCTTGTGAACGAGGGAGCTGCAGGAGTCGTTCACAATGTATTTCAGCGATTGGGACTACTTGAAGGTGCAACACACTATATTTGGTATGACAATATAGGGGAGGTTTTCTTGTTCTCCACAAGACTGAGTTGATAAACAATCTGGCATTTCCAATGATCATGCGAGGTTCATGAGAGTGGGTCTGCAGTGAAGTGCAACCCATCACAACAGCTCATCTATCGTTGCACCATTGTGGAGACAAGCGGACATGACCCAATCGCTCGCTCTAGCCATGGTTTTACAAAGAAACTTGAAAAATATATGGACTGTGGAGTGCCGGCTGCCGGCCAGAATGCCTTGGCGTTTGGTCCCCTAGTGCGTTCAGAGCTCTCGCTTCTTCCAAGCTGCGCCAAGGCAACTTTGGACCCTGAGTATTTGCTATGTACAGACTGTACATTGCAAGAACCATTTCAACCCATCTTCCCTTCGAGCCATGGAGCTTTGCACAGAGGGCCTCTCTTCCTGTTCAGGTGCACGGCTCTACATACTGCTCTCTGCTTCAAAGCAGTGCCCGGCTGGGTGATGCAGAGTGTGTTGGCCGACTATGGCGCAGTGGCCTTGGCACTCTGCAAAGTGAAGCACTCTAGTAGCGCTAAGCAAGGACGCAGCTAGAACGTGCAAGAACGTGCAACGGGTGTTAGGTCAGCTCATCCACCTCAACTTTCAGCCAAATCTCTCGACACGGCTGGAGGCGGATGACCATTTGATTGACGTGCAAAGGCACAGAGTCGTTCAGTATAAACGAAAGTTAAACGAATACGGATTCGAATTCGACAGGTGATGCAGGTCGCCAGCAGCGCTCCTTTCCTGGGCATGGCGCAGCTTGCATGCCAGGCGGTCGAAGCTCCCCGTGCCGAACTCGGCAAACTCGACACCCTGTGACCGTGTGACCACTTGTGACCACTTGTGACCACTTGTGACCTCTTACTGTAAGACTCTTTGTATTTCTTTTCGGCCTATCTCGGCGAGGGACACTCGTGTTTGACTCCAGCTACATCCCGAGGTGAGGAGGCGCTGTTTTTGGCTGCGCGGCCGTTGGTGGAGCTTGGCGACTGGCGAGGCGTCGAGAGGCTGCTGAGGCCTTGCCCAACCGCCAGAGACGTGTCGCTGTTGCTAAGAGCCTCTCGAAGAGAGTTCCGTACGAGCCCCGTGTAAGAGGCTGCGACCTGAGACATAGCTTGGCAGGCACAAAGAGACATCCATCGCAGCAGCGCTGCTGCAGCTTCAGGCTCTGAGTGAAGCAGTTCCCAGGACCGGAGAAATGCCAGCAATATGCAATTGACACGCGGTCCAAGTTCTTCGTGCAGGAACCGGCAGAAGGCCATGCAAGCGGCGAGCGCACTGCTTTCCGCAGGCGGGCGTCTTACGCGAACCCAGGACACGGAGAGCCTTGGTCAGAACCAATATAGCCAATGGAGTGTAATGGAGTGTAATGGAGTGTCATGGAGTGTCATGGAGTGTCATGGAGTGTCATGGAGTGTCATATGGAGTCCTGGCCTTGCACGAACTCTCTGGAGAGCTGCAACCCTGGCAAGAGCGCCTTGCCCACATGCATTGCCACGCATTGCTGAGACCAGGAAAGCGCTGGGAGCTGTTCTCCTTCGTCGTGCACTGGGTGGACGAGAAGTGCATGAACGTCGACCTGAAGCGAGCGCAGGCGTTACGCTGCAAGGCCCTTTGCAGCAGAGGTGCGAGTGCCAAGAAGCGGATCTTGTGGATCTTATGACATTGTGTTGGGGGTGGGTTTGTTTGGCGGAAATCTTTTGGCGTCAATCATCGAAGCTCGATCACTGCCGCCCAGATGCAAAGCATGTGTTCTTCGAACATGGAGACACCTACAAAGGATGCCTGACATGTGCTTATCACGTGAGGTAGACATATAGCAGCTACACTGTTCAATTTGCATAGAACACATTGATTCCAGTGTTGCTACTTGCATAAATGTTGCCAGTTTACTCCTGTCATGTGTCTGTCAAACTGTGTCAGTTCATTGGGCCGCCATTGCGTGTAAATATGGGAGGCGTGCGGCATTTCTGTGCGCAAGCCGAGTGGGAGCAGCTCTGGATGGCAACGACGCAGAAAGGGCAACCGGCTGGATTCACAGGTGCCTGGCTCAGGTCACGTTCAACGAACAGCGCTTTTGGTGCTAGTGGCTTTGCAGGGAACGGGACAAGCCACCCCGAATCAACAGACTTTGCTCGGAGATCCCTTTTGGATTTCAACTATCATCGACTGCAGCCATTGTGAAACAGACTGGTTTTCACAGTTTGTCACGTGTACACTCCACAAACAGCCGTGCCATACACGCAGACATGTCAGTCATGGAAGCACGCTCTTACAAGCTTAGGTTGTCTCAAGTTCGGGTATCATGGTGTCCAGTTTGATATTCCCATATCGCAGTCAACAGTGGCATGCCTTCTGAGCTCTGGTTTCTCGGAGTGAGAAAGGGCTTGGACTATCATGGCTAAACTTGTTGTGGCCACAGTCTTGCACCATGAGGTGGTCCATTCTGACAGAGGCCATGCTCTTAGCACGTGCGCCTATCATTTGCCGTCGCCTTTTTTCTCATTGTCACCAACCCACTGCTATGCCATCTAATTAGGTGTATGTTTCAGCGAAGGGTCCGAGACTACCATCAGACTTCTGGGGCTGCAGGGAGTGTCAAGGAGTGACGTATGTGATATATTTTGTATGCATAAATATGCCTGTGTGTGTGCGCATGTGTCATTCTGCAGCGTCTAAGTGACTGATGGCAATGATCCACCGAGGCATGTCCTGAATTGCGGCCGCAGCGATCGCGGCTGCCGCGGCTGTGGCGACGCTTTCGCTTGCGGAAAAGAGGCCTTGCCCGTGATACTTGACACGCATTCAAAATCTTGGCGCTTGATTGCAAGCATTTTTACCAGGCATTTGATTCTGCATTTGCTTTCAGTCCAGGCAATGATGCCACAGACGGATTTACAATTTGCAAAGACATGAAGGATACTTCTGAACTGCTCAAGTTGATGTGTTGCTGTCGGCGAGCCAGGGGTTGCCGGCGTTGCTGTTGTCGTGTTCAGTGAGTAGTGCGCGCAGGTTTGTTCTGAGTGGCTGGGAATTCTGCTAACTCATCCACAGAGAGCATAAGTGCCGATCTGTTGCAATCAAGACACGACAAATCAGAGAAAGCAGACGCCCATCAGCATTGCATTGCACTAGATATGGCGCAGCCTAGATGAAATAAGTATTTCAGCACATGCACACCTCTCAACTACTCTTTCGGCAAGAAACATCCCCCCACGCATTTAGTGCTTGCAACTTTTGACGAGCGCCGCCACGTTGACTTTCACGCATCACCACAAGCCATGTGCACAGCGACCTGAGTAGCGCGTTTGTGAATGTGGTCGCTTTTTGCCGAAAGATTAGTTGAGAAATGTGCATGTACTGAAATACCTATTTCATCTAGGCTGCGCCATAGCCCGTGCAATGCAATGCTGACGCTTTGCATCATTGTAACGGCTGGGTGTGTGGCAGATTCATTTCACATCTCTGCTGATCCACACACTCATTCAAATGGTATGCTTAGAAGCAGGACTTTTGCACGCCCACATCACCACTGCATGCAGCGTCGGAGCGCAACTTCCTCCAATGTCAAGCACTTCCAAGCTTTCACTCCCAGCATCAGACGCCCGTCTGCCAAAGCAGGGCTCAAGCAGGTTTGCAGCGACCGCATCTCCCACTGTCCACCCAGCTGCGTCCTGAACATGCGCTTCCAGCAGCAGAACGACTTTCGGTGCATCCTCCTTCCCCCACCTATTCCCCACCTTCTTGTGGCCGGAACTCAGCCTCATGCTATCGCTTCTAAGGACCCATTCAAACAAAGGCCGCGTGCAAGCTGCAAAGCAACAACTCTCAGGAAGTCCTTGTGTGCGTAGGGTAGGCGCCAACCTCGAGCAGCCTTGAGCAACCTCACGCACCTCTTTGAGTTGGAGGGAGTGCTCTGAATTCGCTGCAAGGGCAATTGATAGCATCGAAGCCAGCATTTGAAACTTTTGCTCAAACAGCTTGGAGCCTTGGGATGCTGGGCTGCGCCATGAGACGTGAGGAGAGGCATCGACGGTCCCTAGCAGAGGAGCGGCCAAAGGACAAGAGCCCGCAGCTGCGGTGCCGAGAGTCTGCGGAGGAGAGGGGCCTTGCAGCAGCTGCCCGACTAGCCGCGGCGGTGGCTGCGGCAACAGGCAGTGGAGATCCCAAGTTCCGGCTCAGGCGACACAGCGCCATCGGGTGCACTAGAACGACACCAGGCCACTTGGCCCCGCCAGTTCATGCCTGGAAAGCCAACGGCAAGGAGGACCGGCCCGAGCGGGCTGAGCGGCCTGAGACCGCCAGCGGCTACCCCCAAGCCCGGGAAGCGCGGGAAGCCCGGGATGTCCGGGAAACGCGGGACGCGCGGGACGCGCGAGCCGCCCCCCGCGAGCGGCCTCAGCGGGAGGACCTCTCGCCGCCCCGGCCGCGGCTGATCCGCGCCCAGAGCGCTCGGCGACCCGCGCGGCTGGAGCCGCCCTCCCGAGCAAGAAGCGCCGACCCCAGGCGCCGCGAGGCGTTCGTGCCCGAAGGCACCGAGGACATCCACCAAAGCCACGCCAAATGGTCAGCCAGTCCCATCTTGCAATCTCATTCGGCCAGGAGGTTGCAACTGCAGAGATGGTTAGACCTGCCGCAGACCCAGCGAAGGATGCTGTTGATGTTCTGGGAAAGCTCCACTAAGGTGCATGCAGAGCATCCTCAAAAGGCAGGTAAAAGCAAGCAGCGTATGCTAAAGTCCCTTGCGAAGGCCGTTTCACTCCATGCAAGTAGTTCTACGCAGGTCCTCGCAGTTCAGGCGGCGCTTGCTCCTGCAAATGCAGGCGAGGTATTTCAAGCTGACTAACAAGTCGTGCATTAAGGCCGCGGATGTCAGCCATTCTGGCCGACTGTCATGGCAGGGGATCAGATCTATGTGAAGTACACATGCATTACAGGTCAGACCTGCATCGCCAGCAGCTTGCAAGATTTGGCAAAAACCCTGTGATTGCCATTCAATACGGCTGGGACTTCCTGTTTGATACGTAGTATATTGGCGTTTGAATCATGTTCCAGCGCGGCACAGGAAGAATCCGAACGAGTGAGCGCTTGGTGTTCATGGATCCTGACTGTCAATTGACACATTCTTTCTGTATGAACAGGTTGGCTGTACCCAACGTCTCATTTCCCTACTTTTTGTGAGTTGGGCCCGTTGCTGCCATAGCCTTTTCCTGCTTTCAGCAGCAATTGTTTTATTCTCTATGTCCTTTGCCCTTTCTTTTCTTGCCGTGTAGTGGTGGTCTTTGCTTTTAACGCCTGTGGCCATCTCCAATGCCGTGGCAACTGGCACTTTTTCTACTTTTCCCATGTGAGCTGTGCTTTGGGCACGCAAGATGACCATTGCAAGCATATCGCAAGCATATCGCAAGCAGATTGCTTGATTGAAATGATGGCCGTCACATGCTGGCAGGCACTGCAGCAAGCCCAAGGCTTGGCACATGGAAGTTTCCTGGTTGGACCCCAATCGATCGGAGGCTTGCTGGCGCTCGAACGGGACACATTCTAACAGCAGCCGTCAAAGCTGTGTCCGGGCGCCGAACAAGCGGGTCGCCACAGGCTGAGCGCTTGTTGAGGGTCCACATTTCATTTGGATAACACTTGTGCCAACTTGTGCTTTGGGGCAGAAAGCCAAGGTCGATCATCGATCAACAGCCAACGCCCTTCCGAAATCTGAGTAGCAAAATCTTCCATGGCACGTGCGCTATCAGCCCCTTCCCAACAGCCCTGACACACGTTTCCGCCTCGGAGGTATGGCGTCGCCAAGTTTCTCGGCCGCGGAGCTTCCGCGAGCGTTTGGGAGGTCGGGGCCCGAGAAAGCGTGTCGGAGGTCGAGAGTGGCCCGAGAGTGGGCTGGCTGAGGCGGTTCGAAGCGATGACAGCGGCCGGGTAGCCGTGAAGGCCCGGGGCCATCGTCTGTGTTTTCTTCGTCTTCGTCGTCTTAGTCTCTGACTCATGAACTGCTCTGCTTGAAGAGCTATCCGCAGGTCTTTGATCAGGGCCAGCGGGACAAGAGGCAAGCCCATCGAGAGGCTGGCGCACGGCCTGCAGATGAGAAGTCATGCCCAGCGAAGCTTTTCTATTTTTGTGTCAGTGAGAGTTGCTCAATGTTTGAGCTGAAGCGGGCACAAACACAGAGGGCGCGCGCTTGTCGGTTTCAATTGGCCACTGCAGATGAAAGTTCTCTCGCGAGTGCGGCATCCTCGTGTTGTGGAGGCCAACTGCCGGGATGTAGGATGCCAGCTTGACGTGGATCTTGTTGCACAAAGTGAACGTGGTTGCCCGCCTATGCGAACTTTGTGTAGAGAAGTGAAGACATGTCAATGCCGCAACACCAGGTTGTCTAGAGATGAAACCAAAGCTGGTGACATGAGATCCAAACAATATGTGTACTGCCTGTAAGGAGGGAGCCCGTTTCAGAGAGCCGCAGCTCCCGGCCGGTGACAAAGACATGCATGGCCCAAATGAAGCACCAAATTGCCAAAAATTGCCAAAGGGTGCGCAAACGACAGGAAGATGGTGGAAGCGAGCGAACGGGCGAATCAGCGACTGCTCACGACGCACTGCACGATCCCAATCAGCGACCGGCTTTGGTTGGGTTCAGGGCCGGGTTTAGTAGCTTTAAGGTTGGATTTAAGGTGGGTCTACAGGTTTGTGCAGAGTGGGTCTAGGGTGAGCTTGTTGGGATGTGTTTGCAGATTGTTTGAGGCTGGTGTATTTAGGGTCGGGTTCATTGTGGGGTTGGGGTTTGGCGGGTGGGCTAAAGGTGTGTTAGGGCCAGTTTTGCGGGGGTGAAAGGATTAGCATTAGATTGGCTCAGGGTTCGTAGGGTTCGTGGTGGGTCTAGGGTTGCTTCAGTTACCAGGGTAGAGTGGGTCGAGGGTCCGACTGAGGCCACGGAAAGCCACAAAAGCCTGCCAAACAGAACCACAAAAAGAGAGAGCGCCTTCAATACTAGTGTCCGTCCCCCCCGCCCAGTCACCGATTTGAATTTGGGTTGGTCTGTTTGGGTGGGTTGTTCTGCACAGCGACTTTCGTCACGGATTGGCCAGTCTCGGTCACTGGTTGAATGGTCGGTAAGTGGCTCACCTTGGTAATTGACTGGGCGGTCAAGTCCATCTCAGAGAGAGTGACTCGGAGTGCATTCAATTTTGTATGCCGGAACCGGGGCCGTACGTTCCGTTAAGCCGTTAAGCTGCTTCCATTTGATCGGAAGCGCGCAGCAACGACGCAACGAAATTAAAAAAGCTCTCAAATATCCTTCCGAGCGGTGCTTGATGCAATACCCGAAGCGCCCTCTGCTTGGCGCAACGGGTGTGCTCAGCGCCCTCTGTGCTCAGGGTCCAGAAGCTTGTTTCTGTGTGTTTGTTTTGTCGGCGTCCACACATTTGATCATGGCCCAATGTTGTTCTACCGTGTCTTCGAACTTTAGGCGAAGGTGTGAACCTATTTTGTGTTGCACCAAGAGCTCTCTTTCAGTCTGTGAACGTGGCAACATGCAAAGCAGCCATTGATACCTCCTATACCTGCCCCGAAGGCCTTCGAGGTCATCGAAACACCTCGCCTGGCTCAGCTGGTGTGCGAGGTCACGTATGCATCCTGCTCCATTTGGACAGGAATGTTACACTTGCTGAGTTGGCTTGTCTTGGAACATTTCCAGAAAGGATGCATTCGCTTTGCCAGTTGAGGATTGAGCCTACTCAAGCTGAAGAGGCAGCTGAAGCACATTTGGCATGAGCTTAGTAGGTATTTTGAGCTCATGCAAGCAAACGACAAGCAACCCAGTCAGCAGAGCTTCGGCAAAAGAGTGAAAATCCGTAGCAAGCAGTGCCACACAGCAGCGCAAGACTTGCGTGCATCTAGTGCGTTGACGTTTGAGCTGAGCAGATCACGGACATCCAAAGACGCTGTGTGAGCCACATTAGTCGGAGCCATGTCGTGGTTAAAGACCGCCGTTAGTCGAGTGGGTGAGAAGGCGGAGGCCGTGGAACATGCCACAGTGACAAAGACTCAAGACTCATTGAGCTCGAAGTTTTTGGTGACAAGAAGGCTTTTGCTAGATGCGCGTGATGCGCGTGATGCGGGCCTGTGCGCGTGCGTTTGTGCCTCTGTTTTTAGACATGCAAGCACGCAATGTGTCACTCGCACGGTCAGGCCCTCAAGCAGAGCGAGCGTTTTCAGCGGTTCCAGGAGAGAAGCAGAGATCCATCTTTGTTTTTCAAGACTCCAAGTGGCGTGCCGAGGTGGGCTGTTAAATGCTCCTAACCTAGGCTGCAAGCCACTGAACCGTTGACCGAGAGTTTGCTAGTTTGTTGCAGAGCCTGTCAGCTGTTTGCCTCGTTGCGACAATTACGTGTGTGTGTGTGTGTGCAGGAGCGAACTAGTACAGTGATGCTATCAGCAGCGGAGGGAGTCAAGCGAGCTCGTGAAAAGATTGGCCTTGGCCTCATCCAGTCATAATCCTCATACCTTGCCAAGTCAATTGCTGAAACTCAAATGTCACTGAAGATTCCCAACTTAAACGTTCCGTGAAGTTGAATCCCAACATTCTTTGTGGGAGGTCCCGTGCTTGAGTCATTGACAGGTAAACGGTAAACGCGTGGAGTGCTGACTGAGGCCGACCAGCTAGTGCAATTGAATTCGAGGCGCAGTTGGAGAACCGAGCAAAGACCACTCGTGCGCCCATCACAAAGAGCAGGAGCGCATTAGGAACGCCAATTTGCAGTTTGGTGCCAAGTATTGCGGTCGGGCAAAAGCGGACATGAATGAGTGAAGGGATCAGAGCAACAGGTACCTTAGCTGCGGTTGCAGAGATGCACAAGGCTTGCTGATGCTTGTTGAAGTTTGCAGTTTGGAGACTGTTTTACAAGCACGTCGAGCCTGACAAAGTCAAAGCTATGGTAAACATGATGGTTTGCACGAACAGGTAGCTCCAGAGAGAACGAGAGGGAGAGGGAGAGCGCGAGAGTCGGGCCGACATTGCGGGCAAGAAAGCACAAGCCGACAGACTTGCAGGCTGAGACAATTGCAGCAATTGCATGAATAAACAACTAAACAGTGATGGGCAGTTGCGGACAGCGACGCAGTAGAGTAGAGCATGCACAGAGATCCTGTTTGCGCAGTCCTGGGCGCAGAGCATTGCTTCTAAAGACGGACCTCGTGCTGGAGCCCCAGACGTCAATAATAGAATGGAATAGAATGATTGAATGATTGGCGCATCGCTTTCGGTTCAAGGTTACTGGAGAACACGAGCTCGGATTCAAGGATGCAACAACTAGAGCACTGCTGAGTCATGGCACACGTGGCGAGGAAATGTTTCTCCAAAGCCGTGCGCTCGAATATTCCTTGGAGGCACAAGACCCAGTTGTCATGGTATGAGCCTGAGCTGGCCTGTTTACCTTCTCCATCGCGATGCGGAGAATATCAATACTTATCGGTTTTTGCGGACACCCTGCCAGCGGCACTGCAACAATATGCAAGGATTCATCCCTTGCCTTTGTCAGGTGATCATTGCGGAGCCTTCTTTGCGGGAGGCTACACAAAGTCGAACATGTTTCAAGCGCCACAACTTTGTGATCACGCAATCATGAGGGCACGGGCTGTTCAAGCATGCCATGATTCAACCATTGGAGCACCTAATGCTGAAGCTGCGAAACATGCCGGCACGATTGCAGCACTATGTGAACCTGACCTCTGCTGATGCCTCCCCTGCGGTGCGTGACTCATCCAGTCAAAGCATGGCGCTGGCATTGGTCGCGCCTTGAGCCCTTGAGGCCTTGCACGACCTGCTCTGCAAGTCGCTGGCGTTCGCGGCTTTGCTCCGTGCTTGCCCTGGCTCATGTCATTTGGCAGAAGGTTCCCGGCAGCTCAGTGGCAAGCCCTGATCCAGGCGCCGCTGCTTTGCCTTTGACCCCATATTGACCCCATATCTCGTGGTCTCGTGGCAGGTCGCGATGAGTGGAGACCTGCCAAGCTTTCGCCTGAGTCTATTTGTTGGCACTCAAGAAGGGCCGTCAATAGGTAAAAAACTATAAGGGCCACTCGGGCCACTGGCTGGGGTAGGCCGAGCCCGATGAGATCCGGGCTAAAGGCTCGTTTTTGAGCCGAAAGAGCTCACGATTTGAGGTGAACAGCTCACGTGGATTGTCTCCGCAGTGACGGCCATGAAGATCGACTGGCAACACCGCCAACTTAATGAATGTCTTCAGCGTTTGCAGTGTGTGAGTTTCAGCTTCAGACTGCATTAGTTGCTTTGTGCATCCAACTTGCATGCACTTTCTGAGACAATATCCACCTTGTGTGACCTCTTGTGAAAGCGATGCGCCCTCAATATCTTGCAAGTCATCAATACCCATATTTATCTGTGTTGATTACTACTGATGAAGAATCACAACTGTGCTACAACTTCCCCTGGCGCTGGCTCAAGAACGTCGCAGAGGCCCCTCAGGAATGAACACAAGGGACATCCGATTGCCTTCGAATGTAAATGTATTGGCCTGATTTGCTTGGCATGAGAATGCAGTGCGTGCTAGCCGTTACTAGCCTCCTCTAGAGACTTCCTTGGCGTGCACAGCATTCCTACCATGAGATATGCAGATGGCGGTCCCGCGCTGTGCCAGCACTGAATATCGGCTCGCTCAATGCATGTGCGCCGCAATACCCTGGTCCGGCTGCAGCATTGGCTGAATGGCAGAGTGTCATTCGGGACGGTTGTGGTTATTGAGAGTTCACGAGAGGCGGAAGCGGAGGATAATGAAGGCATCCAGTTCTGAATTCTGCCTGCGTAAGGTGTGTCACAGTGAGCATGACTTTGGTGGCCAGAGAGGCGCCGCTTGCGTCAGTCCCATTTGAATCAGGCTTTGTGACTGTTTGTTTTGCTTGTGCAGGCCTGGACTGTGCCCATGCGGCCTTGCCACGAAGCGAACAGCACAAGTCACCCGGAAGCGAGTAGCTCGAGTCACTGCAAGGGTGTCGAGTTGTCAAGCGTGTGCCAATGAGGTGCGCAGATGAGGCTGCGGCCTGTGATGGCTGTCCCCGACAGAGACAGAGGCAAGCTGTGGCAACTCAAGAGCTCTCGATTCCCAATCCGCATCACCTGCAGAACCTGTTCTTGCTCATCGGCTTTGGGCGTCTTCGGGCGGGAACATGGTGAAGAAGGCAAGGGCTGAAGTCATATCCTCATCGAGATGCATTCATAAACAGATGTGAGCAATTGAAGTGCTGGTCAACGAACCTAGACACGTTTTGGATTACAAAGGTTGAGCATGTGGTAGCAAAGCCTGCAATAGCACACAATCATGTAATGTGTATAAACAAACATATATATATATATATATATATATATTATATGTATGCTCAGCCACCCCGAGTTGCAACCTAAATCATAGAAAATGTTTTTGTAAAACTGCAACCTCAGTCAAACATGTTTCTTATGGAATTGCCACCTAAAGCATAGAAAGTTCTTCATAGAACTGCAACCTAGACCACACAAAGCGTTTTGTAGAACTGCTATCTAATTTTTGAAGTTGCTTTATAGAACTGCAACCTAAATCATAGAAAGTGCTTTATAGAACTGCGAACTAAATCATAGAAACTGTTTTATAGAATTGCAACCTTTCTCATAGAAGAGTTCGATAGAATTGCAGCCTAAATCAGAGAAAGTTCCTCATAGAGTTGCAATCTAAAGCATCAACACTGTTTTATAGAGTTGCAATCTGAATCATAGAAATTGTTCTATAGAACTGCAACCTAAATCACAGAAAGTGTTTTTTGTAGAACTACAATCTAAATCATAGAAATTGTATTATAGAACTGCAACCTAAATCATAGAAAGTTCTTCATAGACTTGCAAACTGAATCGTAGAAAGTGTTTTTTTAGCACAGCAACCTAAATCATAGAAAGTTGTTTATGGAACTGCAACCTAAATCATAGGAAGTCTTTTATGGAATTGCAACCTAAATCAGAGAAAGCCCTTCATAGAACTGCAACCTAAATCATAGAAAGTTCTTCATAGACCTGCAACCTGTACCGTAGAAGGTGTTTTTAGCACAGCAACCTAAATCATAGAAAGTGGTTTATGGAACTGCAACCTAAATCATAGGAAGTGCTTTATGGAATTGCAACATCAATCAGAGAAAGGCTGCAACCTAATTCATGTCAAGTGTTTTACAGAACTGCAGCCTAAATATTAGAGATTGATTATAGAATCGCGACCTAAATCATAGAAAGCGGTTCATAGAATTGCAACCTAAATCATAGAAAGCTCTTTATAGAGTTGTTACGAATCTCGACACTTTGTGCTGAGAAGGTGCCTAAAAAAACCTAGCTGAGGAGCAGAAAGTGCTGAGCGGGTGCCATTCAAAAAAGTTGGTCTCAGGAATCTCGGGTAGCTAGGCTTGGTACCTTCCCCACACCAAGCACAAAATGCTGAGAGGGTGCCCAAAAAACCTTGCTGGAGAGCAGAATGCGCTGAGAGGGCACCTGAAAAGCCTAAGAAACTTACTCGGGTGCCTAGGCTAGGTTTTCAGGTGTTTAGGTGCCCTCTTGACGCTTTTTGCCCTTGAAAAAAATTGCTGAGAGGGAACCTAAAAGGCAGAAAGCATCGAGAGGGTACCTAAAAGATTAAAAACCCTAGGTACACAATGCTGAGAGGGTACTCAAAAAGCCTAGCTGAGGAGCAGAAAGTGTCGAGAGGGCCCGGGTATCTAGGCTAAGTGTTTAAAGGTTTTTTGGGTACCCTCTCAGCACTTTCAGGCTTTTTGGGTACCCTCTCCTAAACCCTAAACTCTCAGCATTTTGCGCCTGCAAGGAGCAGAAAGTGTCGAGAAGTGCTTAACACCTAGCCTAGGTATCGGACCAGCCCAAGAGTTTTGGGTACCCTCTCAGCACTTTCTGCTCTCAGCTTGGTTTTTTAAGGCACCTTCTCAGCATTTTCTGCTTCCATATAGTCTGACAAACAATGCTTCCTGAGACAGAACAAATGGCAAATCATTTGCTTTCTGAGCAAAGGCAAATCATCTGCTTCTGAGACACTGCGACGTCAGTCTCAGGCAACAATGCGCAAGGTAGACAAGTCCATGGTGTTATGTCCCTACATGTAGATGATCTTCTCATGGCAGGTGGCAACACGTTTGAACAAAAGATCACGGCCAACGATCTGGAAGGACTTTCAAGTAGGCTGCGAGGAATAGAACTGTGTTTTCGTAGGACAGCGAATCCAGTGGAAAGATGATTCTCCACAGCATGGAGACGACGTTAATGCTTACCAAAATGTAGCCGTTGATGAACTCCAAGAGAGTCACTTCGAGAAGCACCTCAAACACAATGTACAGCTAAATCCAGCCATGCGCGCAGCATACCGAACTGTACTTGGACAGAGTAACTGGCTTCAATCCAGACCCAATTTCACCTTGGATATTAGTTTTCCAGGTGTGCATCGAAGGCGTCATCTCCTACTATTGCCATCAACAAGACCGTCAGAACCATTAAGAGCATACCTCTGAGCATGAAATTCTGGCCTCTTAAGGGCAAGACTAGTTGGATACCTTCATGCGTCCTATAGGAATAACGATGCCAAATGATCGCAACGCACGCGTGTGATCTTCCTCGCACAAGATCGGAATCTTCATAAAGATTCACCGAATCCTAGAGGATCCCTTGTTGGTCATGAAGCTCAGAAAGTCACAGCAACCACCATGTCCACCACAGTGGCCGAGTTGCACTGACTGATGCGATGCTTTGCAACATGTCTCTTCGCACGAGGACTCTGTTCAGACATATCTGGTGAACTAGCAGATGTTCATATTCGCACTGACGCAAACAACCTAGGAACCACTGCGTCAACAATTCATCAACCAGAACAGAAGGAAACCGTGCACCTTATTCAACAGCTGCGTAAAGCGCATGATCGCGCGCGTGCACCTTCAGAATATTGTCTCGCAGATTGTTTCACGAAGAGCTCTGCCGACGGGCTCATCAAAGGCGTCATGACAGGAAATCTCCTTAATGTTGACCTACATCTACCTCTCGGGACAATTTTGCAGAACAAGGCATTTTGGGTTGAATGGCTTGCCCACTTTCACCTTTCTCGCGGAGAATCACAATTTGTGCCGTTCGCTGAGGGGGGGAGTTGGGGACTGACACGATGAATTTCGCGGGATCGGCAAGTACCAACAGGTCACCAACAACACGATGAGATACCTGCGAGATTCACCAAGCGCATGGCGCATGCAGATTGTTCCCACTGTGTTCAATTTTCAAGGTCAAGTTGGCATGCCTATGACGCATCGTAACGCGCAGGCGATGGCCAGGTTGGTCCAGGCCAATGACAAGACGTGGGTCACCGCTGAAATGATCCTATTCCAACAGGAGCAGATGTCAAGAACATTCACTGCGATCCTACGTCGCACTCCAGATGAGCGACCCAAGTATCCACCTCTCCGCAGAGAGGAAGATGGATGCGTGCTTTTGGATACTATTCTTCAACCAAAAAGCCCGATCACGCTGCTGTTTCATAGCATCCATCTTCGACGTCTCCAAGTGCCGGACAGCTATGGCCAGTATACACACAGAGGCGATCCCAAAGGACCTCCTCCAAAACATTCAGACACATGGACCAAGAACCGAGACTTTGGCAAAAGGAGCATTCCGAGATCGCGATCCCCAACATATTTAATTTGCACCCATTGCTGGGCAGACACCGTATCCTGAACCAGATTCTCGTGATGAAGCGCTTGAGGTGTGAAATCAAGAAACCACGAAACCGAGCTCATCCAGAAGGGCGCCAATTCCTTCTATGGACGAGTCCGAAGAACGAGGACTCACATATACAAGGAAGCCTGGAAAGGCAACCCGAAGAGCAAGGCAATGCCAAAGCCTTCGCAGCCACCTAGAACCACACCGAACCTCGCGGGCGGACTCAATACTGTTTTATCCAAGTGTGTCAACATAGAGGAGCAGAAACCAGGAGAAGAATTGGGGGTATCCTATAGCCCTAGCTGGCATCTTGCGCTCACCCAGTCAGTAGCCCTTGGAAAGGACGTGACCGAGATTGCTGACAGAACAACCAACCCCTAAAACTGTCCTGCGCCTGTCATTCTTACGCCAAGAAAGAGAAACGAGGAAGAGAGTCCAAGAGCGAGGAAGTTCCAGGACCAGATGCACCTTTTAAGAAGGCA